CAGATCGACGAAGCACACTGCTGAGGGGAGCAGGGTCAGGAGGGGTCTGCCGCGCCCTGGGGTCTCCTCCGGGGCAGGCGGGGATCGAACTCCTGCGGAAGCGGCTTTAGCTTCTCAGTGCCGCGCTGTGACCCGCTGCGCCCCCAGGGAGGGCCCTGGTCTTCGTTCTTTTAAAGGCCACGTAATCGCCACGCTCACGCTCGCCTACTGTCATGCAGCCGTGGGAAAGTGGTTTTCCAAGCTAGATTTTCTCTGCACGTAAATGTCACAAAACCAAAGCAGAATTTTCACAGATTATACTTTAGAAACTTAAACTTTGTTTTTTTTTTTTTTTTTTTTTTTTTTTTTAATGCTGCTCCGACTCCTGGGTTAATTTCGGGTGCAGCGGCCAGCAACTTGCAACGCTAAAGTACGAGTGTAAATCCCCTTCCTAGACCTTTTCGGCCCAGCCTCTCCCTCTCGGCCCCAGGTCACGCGCCTCAGCTTCCTGGGCAGGTGCGCCCTGCCCGCGTCTAGCCCTCCTCCCTGGGAGCGAGTCAGTGGATGATCCCCAGAGGCTGCGGGCTCACCGCTAACTGTCGCTGCTGAGAGGCGGCAGGAGTTTCCGCTGCCCGGCCAGAGGGTCGCCGCCCAGCATCCCGCTCCGGTCCAGGACTCGGCGGTCAGACCTGCCCCTTCATCTCTCCGCCAGAGTCGTCACTTTGGCCAGACCCCTCGTTCGAGGCTTCCAAGCCCCCTCCTTGGAGAATTCTCGTGCAGGGCCAGGAAGCATTCCCTGTGTCCGTTTCCTCGGCGCGGGAGGGCGTGGTGGGCCTAGAGGCTGGAGCGCTGCAGACCCCGGAGGCAGGCGACGAGGTTTTGGGGGGAGACAAACGCGCCGCCTGCGAGGCAGCGTCCGGCCTGTGGTGGGGAGACGTTTGCGGAGAAGCCGGCTGGTCTTGGTCAGCGTCGCCTTTTGCTTTGCAGCGTCTTGAAGGACGGAGACACCTCCGAGGACGCGCCGCCAGCCCCGGCCGGGAGGGCGCCCCTGCAGCCGCCTGCGCCCCGAG